TATATAACATAAAAGGCTAGTATCCAAATTTGAGTACTGTGACGCCAGTCCAACCATCCCTAGATTGGAACCAGAGCATCATACATGTCCAAACTTCAACATTGTGGCTACCGAATTATTAATTAATCTTATTAGCCAGATTAAAATATAGCCCATATAGCTAGAGCTAAATTCCATTTAAAATGGAATTAAGTTTGCCATCTTACTATACGCACCAGACCTTTTGGCCGTTATCGAACGCAAACGAGTCAAAAACAAATACGCAGTCATGTCTGATTCAAATAACGGCGGTACCAGTGAGTCCCAGTTTTTTCTGTTTTTCGCATTCAGCGTCCCGTAGCCGAGGCATCCTTATTGTGAACTACTTAAATTTCCTCTTTCTTCTTACTCTCCAATATTACGATTTTTCTTTTTTCTTTTCTTCCTCTCCCCCACCCCTTGCATTCTCCTCCTCTTCTACAGTTTGTATATACAAATTTTCTTCTTCTTGTTCCGTCTTCCACTACTTCTTCTTTCTCCTCATTTTCTTCATCCTTCTTCTCTACATCTTATTACATTTCTTTGTCTTCTTCTCCTCCTCTCCCTTCTTTTTTCCCATTTTCTTGTTATGTGTTGCTTTTACATTTTCCCCTATAGCTAAATTTTTTCTCTCATCTTTTTAGGTACGTCTACAAGAGCGGTTCCAAAATGTGGTCTAGTGGATTAGGATCCACCCTCACCATGGATAATCACAGATCCGATTTTTCTAGTATGCAGTAAGAATTTGTCTCAGTTGAAATCGAGTAAGCTATATAATAATAGGAAATATATATACAAATTCCATTGGCTTTCAGCTATATTACCTCTCGAATTTATGACGAACTCATTTAATCATCCTCTGATCTGCGGTTATATCCGACCCCCCTTATTCAAAATTAATGGATCCATTCTTTAATCAACCGTGCTCATGTCATACTTGTTTTTGTCTCTGCCTTCTTTCCGGCCTTACGTATTGTCCTTCTTTACTTCTCACCACATTATTACTCATTGCGGCAAGATATCACACGAGGAAACTACATTTTGTGTGAATATTTAGATGAATAATAGGTATAACAGTTGGTACAACATTAGGTAAAACAGGTAGCTAAACAGTGTGTAGCATGCATGGCAACAAATTTACAAGACAACTAAATGTTTTTCGACAGGACTGCAAGTCTTACGGTCGGTGTAGACAAAGAGTGTGGCTTTTCCACACACACACACACACACACACACACACACACACACACACAACACACACACACACACTGTGATGGCCATTAATTGAGTTTTAATGA